AGCTTCTTTCTCATCTTTTGGCATTTGTCACTGCCCCAGCTTCTTGTCTTATTTCTGCGCTGTCACTCGCAGCTTCTTTCTCATCTTCTGCCTTTTGTCACTGCAGCCTTCTTTCTCATCTTTCTGCCTTTGTCACTGCCAGCTTCTTTCTCATTCTTCTGCCTTTGGTCACTGCAAGCTTCATTTCTCATCTTCTGCCTTTGTCACTGCAGCTTCTTCTCATCTTTTGCATTTGCTCACTTGCCAGGCTTCTTTCTCATCTTCTGCCTTTGTCACTGCAGCTTCTTTCTCAACTTCTGCGTTTTCAGCTACTTTTTGAAGTTGCTCATTTTCTTCCTCATCAAGGCTCTCACTTTGATCAACTTTGTCCCCTTCATTGTCACCTGCGTCAGTCTCCTCTGACTCTTCTTTACTTTTCTGACCCTTTTCACCATCATCCACTTCACCAGGACTCACATCATCGCCTCCATTCACGGAATGTCCTACGGATGCTACTTGATTCTGCTCACTATCAGACATCTGCTCACCGTCTTCCTCTCTGACGTCTTTATTATCCTTCTCTTCCTCACTGCTCCCTCCATCTCTTTTGGTACACTCCTGCTCATCTTTTCCCACCTCTGTCTCCTCTGATCCTGTCTCCTCAAACTCTGACATCTCAATTTCCCTGGTGGTCTCTGTTATGATCTCCTCCACAAACTTGTAGTGGGGCTCGACTCGTCTGTGCGGTCCTCCCGGGCGGCTGAGGCAGGGAAGAGTGTAAACGGGGGACTGGTGGTAGATGTATGGCAAGGAGATGTGGGTGTCTGACATCGTGGAGAGTCGAGCCTCCTCACCGCAGAGAAGTTTCCTGCAAGACAGGGGACACAGATTTCATCTGCAGTGATATATGTACAGATTTGTTGTAATTCTCATTTATGAGAAAGACTTGAGGGAAAAAAAACTACTATTAAAAGGGTATTGTAATATGAATTCAATTTAGAATGTCTCTAAATCCAGTTTTGTATTATTTAATTACCTGCCTTGTTTCTGTGATTCCCATGGTGCAACATTGTGATTGTTCGCATTAGACACCATATTTTAACTGTATTCTACTCAAATGCAGCATTCATGATAGATGACGAAAGCTGAAGTGAAACATAAACTGAGATTTTTAACAATCTTTTCACCCCAAAAATGCTTTCTTTGGTGATAATCTCGAGGACTAGGACTGTCACTCCAGGTGGATTCGGCCCACCTTACCTGTAAGACATTATCTCCACATCCAAAGCCATCTTCACATTTAACAGGTCCTGGTATTCCCGCAGGTAACCAGACATGTCAAATTTGCAGTTTATGAGCTCATTTTCAAGTTCTTTGATCGTGTTCTGGAGCAACAGAGGAGAGAACACGTGTTACAGGACGCAATATGCATGTGAACACAGAACTTGGCTTTATTAAAAAAAAAAAGTCTTACCTGGTAATGAATCATTTCTTCCTTGTGGCGATCCTCGACGTCATGGAGTTGCCTCTCCAGCGCTTCCCTGGTGCCTTTAGCGCAGTCCAGTTCGATGTTCTTGGCCTGCAGGCGCCTCCTGTACTCCTGGATCTCCTGCTGGGTCGCTTTTAACGCCTCCCTCTTGCTCTCAGCTGCCTCGGTTAATCTTGCGAACTGAGATCGGAAAGTTGCTCCCACCTGCTCGAACTCGGACACGGTATGACCTTCCAGTTGCGCCCTGATGTCCCGAAGTGCCGCAGTGACGCCAGGGTTGCCAAATTCATGCGCCTTGGCGTTCACCTGCGCATGCTGGATTTGTTCACACATCTCCGACACCTCGGCCTCATGGTTCTTCTTCAGGAAGTGGATTTCGTCCACGAGAGCCTGTGCTTTCTTGTCCAGCCGCAGTTTAGCCTGGTACGCGTCACTGATGTCCCTCTTGAGGACCACAATGTTGTTTTCGGCGTCAGATCGGCTGCGCGACTCCTGTTCATGTTTTCCTCTCAAATCGGACAGCTCGTCCTCTAAATTCTGATGCTCAATTTCAATCTGATGCTTCTGATGAGTGATATCCTGAACCAGCTGTCTCAGTTTGCCGAGCTCGGGCCCGTACTCCTCCTCCAAAGAAGATGCGGGTTTCGCTTTCCCCCGGATCTCCTCGATCTCTCTCTCTAGCATACGATTCTGGTACTCCAGATGGTGCACCTTCTCTATGAATCCTGCGAGACGGTCGTTCAGGCCGTGCATCAGTTCCTTCTCATTAAACTTTCCGGATAACGGCTCGGTCACGTTCATGCCCGTGGACGTCCCTCGAATATCTAATGTTGAACGCTTCGGTTTGTGTTGTAGATAGTCATCTGGAGCGATTCTGCGCGGAAAGCCGAATCGGTTATCCATGCTGTGAGTCGTGCTGTCGCGGTGAATGTACGGTGCAGAGTCGCTCCATGCGGACTTTTATAAGCGTCAACATCTGCTCGGTATGCAGAACGGAGCTGTCCGCGGTGCTGAAAAGGTGTAGCATCAGCTGATGCTTGAATGAGAGCAGCTTACACTACAGTTTGTCGCAGGCAGCAGTGGAACTGGCAGTATATGGCAGCCCCCACACTATTCTTCTTATTTTTGTTATTATTATTGATATTATACCAGGCCACGGTTACTGAATTTAGCAGATGACCTTACAGACCCTTCTTACTAACTAGTTCGGCAGATCTCAACTCACACCTTTTTATACTGACAATACATAGCCTGAAATTATGTAATTATGCCAGTTTTATGCACTCAAGTACTGTAGTACTGCAGAATTTTGAGGTACTTGTGCTTAGTGTTACTACTGTACTTTTGTACTCCACTACATTTATTTTTACATCTACTTGAAGTACACTTTGCAGATAATAATTAAGTAGCATTTAGGTTGCAAGACTTGTACTACTTGTAATAGACTATTTCTACACTAGTATTTTTTACTTTTTACTTTGGCTTAAGGATCTGAATACTGCGCTGTACACCGAAGCAATATGACAGATTTTCAACCTGCTTGGGGGTTTTTACTTGTAAAAAAGTATTTTCTCCATTGCAGTATTTCCCCCCTTTCACTCAATTATAGGATGTGAGTAGTTCTTCCACCATTGGTTCATGTTTTTTTTCATCCCATAAAAGTAAACATAAACTGTTGTAAGGCATTAAGTATGAGTGTTGCTTGAGCGTTCACTGTCTGAACTCTTCTGTGTTAATCTCATTACACGTTTTTTGAAAGCATAAAAGTTTTTACTTTGTCCTGCTGCCATTTCGCTGGTAAATCATATAAACATTTATTTTGAAGGGGGCTGTACTTTTCCACATATCTATACTGATTTGCTGTAACACCTCAGGCCGGTGTAGAGTTGATTAATGCCCTTTTTGGATGTGCTCTGCTACCAACTTTAACAGTTTTTAAAGGAAAGGAGTCCTGCTTGCCAAGAACACTTGGCATTTGAGCTGTTGTGGAGTTAAAGTGGAATGTTTTACCCTTTCAAAATATAATAGAAAACTTAAACGTATTTAAAAACCACCAGATCACAACAATTTAAATTTAGTGGTGATAACACACACAAATAAAGGCTGCTGTGTTCATCACACTATAAAGAGCTTAACTGTGGCTTCTTTTAATGTTTTTAGTTTCCCTTGGCTCTTATTTCACTTTCATCTTTTTGTATTTTGATGTGTGAGCTATTGTGGCCACAGTGTAATGTTGCTACAAATAGAGCGGATCGTATCAGCCTGTAAACAAAATCATATGTCTTATATTCTGTTCCAAAAAAAGCAAATCACTGTTGAAACCATATATATTTGTTTGTTAGCACTTCTATGATCACTGTCCTTGTAAAGACAAAGTTGTAAACGTAGAGAGATAGTTGAAAAAGTTTATTGCAATGATTGTTGTAGCTGATGAAAAAGTACAAACATACTCCACAATTCCAAGTTTACATTTAATATCAAAACTAAAGCACCATTAAGACAAACAGATTTTAGCGTTTGATTGCAATGGTCAGCCCATCTCCCACAATGAGCATGCTCAGATCAATCCTTTGGTCCTTGTGTAGCTTCTTATTGAGAGCATCCAGACCCTGCGATGTGAGGTCACTGGGATCAGGATTCACGACCTTTCCGCTCCACAGCACCTTCAAGTACAGTAACAACAGAGCCGTTTCATTATGTTCAGGCAAAACATGCTGTACGTCCTCTCAATATGTTCTCTGACAGATGCTAAACCTGCTTGTGTAAGTACTTACGTTGTCAATTGCAATGATGCCCCCTCTTCGTATGAGCTCAAGGGACTTCTCATAGTATCTGTCATAGTTAAATTTATCAGCATCGATGAACACAAAGTCATATGTTCCAGCTTCCCCGGCTGCTATCAGTGCATCTGATGAAACAGAAGTGAAAATTAAAATGGCAAAATGGCTGTCCATTTTATTTTTTATTTTGACTAAAATGAAAAGCACTTACCCAGTGTCTTCATGGCTATGTCATGCCGTACATCTATCTTATCTTCAACTCTAGCCTGTAGAAAAGGTTAAATTGTATGAAAAAAAAAAAGAGTGCAGGGATTTTTGGTGGATTTTTTTTCTTAAAGAGAGTGTTAGGGAAGGCTAAAACGGGGATTGATCATCCTGCTTGGCTTCGCATCTTTACGTGACACACTTTCCTGAGCAGACACCTTTTTGTTCTCCAGCCGGCAGCATTTTGTGAAGACATACTGACAGAAGGTAGATGTACAGTATGCTGTCTGCTGCACAATCTCGCTCTGACAGAAGCAACAATCAATCTCACTTAACTTGAAAAAGGCCACATTGAAATGTTGCACAAGTGCCAGGTTGTGTAATCCTGTACTATAATAGAGTTATAGTAGGTTTCAAGAATTATCTTTTACAGTATCTTCTTTTATCTGTATATGTCCTTATTCACACAGTGGATGTGAGTCATGGTGTTAAGAAAGAAATGTTCTCACCTCTTTAAAAAATGGTTTGGCAATGTTCACATAGGTGTCTTCTATTTCACAAGCCACCACCTTTCCATTCTCTGGCATGGCCAGAGCCATGCTCAGTGTATTGTATCCCGTGTACATCCCTGCAGAATGAATACATAAATGGAATCACTACAGAATTAGATTTTTGTCCTTTCAAGGTGATTAAAAGATATGAGTGTCTGGGAGCAAATAAAAAAGGCAGTATATGGATCCCACAACTAAGTCCCACAACTAAATACAATAAATTTTGAAATTTGAATCCCGCTAAATTTAAAGCAATGAAACACTGTCTATTTCAATTTATTATAAGTTATTTGAATTCCCCGCTTCAAAATTTTAAGAACAGATGTCAACAGATTTTGAAATAATAATTATCCAGTTGTGGTTTGATTTCATAATTAATTATTTGGGTAAATTCCAATTATTATATGCTTTTTTTGCTTCCATAGTCTTCAATTTGATCTCACATAATCTCACCAATTTCAATAGCTTTAGTTGCATTTATCAGCCTAATGAGATTTGCCATAAACTGGGCTTGTTCACTGGCAACCATCATGATACTCCATTGGTCTTCAAGGGTTCTCTGAAATGGAAACATAAAATAATGAAATATTTTGATATCATTATATTGTGGATACACAACATTTGTCTGGCACTTCTCATTAGACTGCATTTAGCTGTGTGGTGTCCTGTCAGTGTGCTGCCCTCTAGTGGTCAAAAACTATACTGCTTAGATCCTATAATTATATGTACCTGTGATAATGTATGTCTAGTTATGTATGTGTTTATTGTAGTTGCATAAAAATTAAAGATAACATAACTTAAATGTGACACAAAACAACACCAAAACACAAACTAAAATGAAATTCTCAGCATGTGTGTGTCTTCAGCTGCTTTTTAAAAGTTTCCGGAGTGTTCGCTGCTGTTAAATCCAGTGGCAGTGAGGTCCAAACTTTAGAAGTCACAACATCAAAGACACAATCCTCTTTAGTTTTCAGCCTGGAGCACCAAATGACCACCCAGCCTTCATCTGACCTAAATAACCTGCTGCTGGCTTCAGCTAGATATGTTGGCAGCTGTCTGCCCATGCTAAGCTAAAGGTGATCAAAAGAATGTCACAGGGAACAAATTTAAAAATATCAACTCGGGGGCAACATCTCCATATCAGAATAAGACAGTGTGGTGTATGAGGGCTTGCTGGTTCTCTCACCAGTCTGAGCTTAGTGAGGACTGGGTGCTCCCTCAGTGAGTTGTTAACGACATACTGCAGCACAGGATCGTCTTTCCCTCCGCTGTGGCTCTTCCCAATAAAGGCTGACTTCCCCACACCTGGCCAACGAGAAATAGAACAACAGCTACTATTACCACCGATTCAAGACATGCCTGTCACCTGTCACATTATACACAAAACCGCCATTACGTACCTGTTAGTACAACAGCAAGTCCAACACAAAAAAGCAGTTTAATATCTGTCATTGTGTTCTGGGTTCTGGGCTTTGTTGAAGAGATGTTGAGCAGCTTTAGTTTCAATCCACTGAATCTCTCTGTGTCAGTCCTCTTTGTACAGTGCCATCTGTGTTTGCTTTCCTTGACCTTTGAGAGGGAGGCTCAACTTATTGATTTTGAAGTATATTGCAAAAGTAGGGACATTTTTGTAGGACAGACAATATTAGGACAGTTAGGTCTTTGTGTTTTTTTTTTTTTTAATGATATGATTAAATCACTGGAAATCCCAGTAGAGTCCCGAGACAAAGGTCCCAACACTGACCCAATTATTTTTAGATTAGGTTTGTTCTTTTTCTTTGCTGAAGATGTAAATCTCAAAATACTACAGATCACCTCTCTCAGTTATTTTGCAATCCAAACAAGCACTTTGAACAGTTTTATCTGTGTTTGTTGTTCTTCCTGTCTTCTTGAATGTACACTATTATACAGTACTGTATATCACGGAAATTCATGATCAATCATGTGGATGTTTGTGTATTTCACAAGACAATGCCTTTCTCACTGTGTAAAATCCTGCATGACGAGAAAAAAAAACACTGAATTTGATAAGAGGTAAAAATAGCACAACTTTAGTTTTAAATTTATTTCCTCTGAAGGAAGCGAGACTACAACTCTTTTTCTGTGTTCATAAAAGCTTTAAAAAGTATCCAAAAAAAGTGTCCAAACATTGGTTGGACAGTTGGGTGTCAGAGTGAAAAGTTCAGTATGAATGTGTTTGGGCCTTATGCCTTATTTATTTTCACTTTACAGCAGCATTGTTGCCATACAAGTCTGCCTCCTAGTGGTACAAGGGCAAAAGAGGGTTTGCTTATCATTTTATTTAATTATTTTGTGGTGCAGTTCTGTGAGTTTTTCTTCGATTAGAGTGAATTAGATGTGCTTGCACAAAGACTTGCATACTCTGAAAGGTCTATGGAGTTTTAAAGCAATAATTTACATCAGTAAATAAGTTTAAGCCAATTTAAGAACTTCTTGTGCTCC